GCCTGGGTCGCCGGCCTGGTGCACCTGGGTTCGGCGAGGCGTCCGGCGGCCTCCGCGCCGAGTGGGGCTACTTCCGCGCCGGGCCGCCAGCCTGGAGACGGTACTTTCGGGGCTCCCTCCCCCAGACCACCCCGAGGTGTCCTCCTCCCACTCTCTGCTCCCATCTTCCAGCCCTCCCGCCCGCTCCCGCGACCGGGGGCTTCGCGTTCGCGGCCCGGGACCGACGGCAGACAACCATACCCATCCACAACCATAGTTTTTAGCAAAGAAAAGCATGCTTCTCTTGTCTTGCCCCATGCACCTGACTCACCTGACCTTACTCTGTGTGACTTCTTTTTGTTTTCCAAAATGCAGAGGGGCATGAAAAGACCGTGATTTGAGACATAGAAGAGGTGGGAAGAAAAAGAAAGGGGAAAAAAAAAAAACGAGGGAGATTCTGTCAGCCATCAAAACAGATGAGTTTGAAAAATGCTTCCAAGAATGGAACGGCAGTGATAAGGTTGTTTTGTAAAAATAAAATAATAATAATAATAATTACATAGCTTTGGGGGGTCTGGGTTTTTGGGGTACCCCATCGTATATTTTATTCAAAACCCATTACACCAAATCACAGAATAGCCATGTCTTTTCTGTGAGCAAATCCAAGCAACCAATGCTACTTCAATAAAGGGCTTGGAAGATCTAAATGCAGCTCATAAAGAAATCGCCCCTGTCGTGACCACTATTGTTTGCTTAGAGCATTAGGCAAATTTCGTGGACAAATACAAATGTATTTTACCCTTCTGCAGGAGCCCTGGTGGCTTGGCGGGTTTTTACACTGGGCTATACTAACAGCAAGGTCTGCAGTGCGAAACCACAGAGCCGCTCTGGGGGAGAAAGAGGCTTTCTACGCCCGTACCGAGTTACAGTCTCGGAAACCCACGGGGGCCGTTCCACCCTGCCCCGTGGAGTCCCCAGGAGTTTGCGGGTGATCTCTGTTTGTAAATACCAAGTCTCCCTGGAAGGAAACTTGGGCCCCGCCCCAGCCCTCCCATCTTGATTTTTAACCATTTCCACAACAGCACGGTGCTGAGCGCCCCCAGACTTGGTTGCGAACGCGCCCAGCAGAAACCCGGCTGCCCCTACCCCCGTCTGCGTCACTGAAGCCACCGGAAGGAACGGAGTCCGCAGCCCAGGCCGCCGGGTGCTGGCGCCCAGGGCAGAGCGCGCGAGCCCGTCGCCGTCCCCGCAGAGATAAGGAGCCCCTTATCGATAAGGAGCGGTCTCGGGCGCTGACCGTCACACGCGGCCCGGGGCTGGCCGCGTACGGGCCGGGGCCAGCCCCACGCGGGCCCTCTCCGGGCGGATCGCGATCGCCCTCCCGGGGCTCCCAGCCGCCGCCCCGCGCGCCTGCGGGCGGCCTTTGTGCTCCCCGCGCGCTCCCGGGCGGGTCCACCCGCGCCGGAGGAGGCGCCCAGCGGCCACGCCGGGGCCACGCTTGGCGAATCGGTCCAAACGCCTGCGTGCTCGGCCCACTGGGTCGGCCTCGCTGAGGACCCTAGGCACTGGGACCCTTCCTCTCGCCGGCCCCTCCTGTCCCCTCCCCTCGCCAACGCCCCTCCTCCGGAGGCTGCGGCCTCACCCGCCCTCCTCCCACCCCACCCCATCCCCGTCCATCCCCCCTCCTTCCTCCGGCTCCGGAATTCCCCAAGTTCGAGGAGAAATACGCTAGCCCGGCTGGGGGCGCGGTGGGGGGCACATGGCAGTTGTGACAGCTCCGGGCGGTGGCGGCGGCGTGCGCCTCTCTCGTGCGCCCTCCCCTCCGGCTTAGGAATTACCCGCTGAGCGTGGAAGCCGGGCGCCCGCCGGCATGGGCCACTGCTGCTGCAAGTCTCCGAGCTGCCCCCGGTGCCTGGACCAGACGGTACTCCTGCCTCCCTCCCCTCCGCTCCGCGCGCGCCGGGCCGGGAAAGCCTCCTCCCCTCTCCCGCGCCGGGCTCGCGCTCGCTTTGTTGCCCGAGACCAGGAGGCTCCCTCGGTCGCCCCGCAGGTGCGGGGCCGCGAGCTCTGCGGGCGGGCGGGCGGCCACCTCGTCCCTCTCCCGCAGACTGCAGTGCCTTACATAATGCCGCTGCCTCCCTGCGCTGGCGAGTAACGGTGGCTTCTCCCTGCCATCCTGGGGGCGGCCTGGGAAAACATCTCCAATAGCCAAGCTGCCCCATGCTGGCAAGATTTTTTGTTCCATGCGTGGTGTGGTCCTGTAGAAACACCTGGGGTGGTCTGGTGGGGGCGCAGGGCGTAGGGGGGCAAGGGGGTAGGGGGCATGGGACCTGCGAGTGGAAATCTGGGCGGCATGGCAGTGGATTTTCTTGACATCTCGCCCTGGCAGAGCGCTGTGAAATCGGAAAGTGTCTGGCTGGAATCCACCCGGCGCGCCCCTGGGACAAAGATGGGGCCAATCTGCTTCCATAAAGAACTCAAGTCTTGGGCACCTCCAGGGGCATATCTACTCTGCCCTAAAGGATTCCCAGGTGTCAGGGCCCACCAGATGGCAAAGCTAACAGAAAGTTTACCATTTGTTCATTCTTGTCATGTATCTGAGGTGGCTTCAAAGAGGTGGTGGTGGAACTTTTATTACCTGTC